ATTGAAAAGAACAAGGAAGAAATTACAAGATAATCGGTGAAAAGACAAAAAATGGTAGACATTAGGTAAAGCAGGGAGAAAGGTGAAAGAGGCCGCAGAAAAGAGGAAAGAAAAAGAAGAAGAAAAAGAAGAGAGGAATAAGGGTACAAGAGTGCTCTCCTTATCCGCGGATTCAGCAACTTCCGACGAGGGCGCCCCTCGATGTTTCGAGTGAACATTCTCTCTCGTTACGTCAGAATCGCCCTTTAAGTCCTTACAACGGCCCTTTTACCAAAAACCCATCGAAAATAAAATATTTTCCTTACATTTATCTCTGGTACGCATCCCTAAATCAATCCTCCGCGACAGTTTCTAATAAATATGCAAATTATTCGTTCGTTATGTTTTTTAATCTCACGTTTTAAATATACACAGTATTCCAAAATATGTATTCATATTTTAACCAAAGAGTAGATACCAGAGGCGACACTCCGATATCTATCTTTGACGTTCGACAAATGGGCCCCTTAAATTGGTTATATAAACGAGCGGGAAATTTAAATCGAGTGAATTGAATTTCACGTTATTAGTAATTAGAAATTTATTTCTTGTCAATTGTATAGTAAGCCTTTCGAAGTATCTGCATTGATTTTACAACGTTGAAAATTTGAAAATAAGTAATGTACAAAATATATTTCGAAATTATTACAAATAAAGAAACGACGAATTATTTATTACAAGAAAATATGATTAAATGTATTAATTAAACGATGCAAAAAACAATGAATAAAACTAACAAGAGTATAAAACAAAAGGTGTCAACAACTGTAGAATATACATGTTTTAAAACTGTTCCGATATCGAAGTAGTTTGCGCTCTGTTCAAAAGAAGTATAATCAACAAGAAGGTATGAACTGTTGGTAACAGAGCGGTAATTTTTTCGGCTATTGCGAACACACGTTTGCTGGATACTCGTGGCACTTTAATTTCAGCTTTTTCATTAAAGGCTTGTATCAATATTGCCATATTTGTGTGGCTAGCTAAATAATCAATGCAGAATACCAATCTTTGGCACAGCTTTCGTTACCATAATTTATTTCGCGAACCTACTGTATTTTTAACCTAAACTGTCATCTGTCATTTTGTACCAAATTGCATCCGTTCCATTAAAACATAACCTAATTATTAATATTAATGGTGATACATCCTGTGTGTCCTGTTTTTAATATATTTATCACGTGAAGTTTAAAACTGTAGTAGTGTATGTACAAGGTTATAAATGACGCAAATTTTATTATGGCATTTATTTTAATTAATTTATTATTAAATACATTTTTCCAGGATTGATTTAAAGTGGTTAATTTTTTTAATGAAAAGTGACAGTGCGGTTTTGAACATTCAGCGCTTTTTCTCAATTACAACTTTACTAACCTTAATTGTTTATATTGTTCATAATTTTAGACTTATTTATTATATTGTTTAATGTTTTCTGTATCATTTATGTGTTTAGTCAAAATTTTATTGTTATCTCATTGCCGATGCTGTTTATATTATTATATAAATTTTTTAAATTATTGTTATTGTTATTATTTATATTATTGGCTCATAATTGTTTATAATTTTATTATTGTTATTGTTTCTATTGATGATGTATATTATTATTTATATAGTTATTTACAGTTCTGTTATTGTTATTGTTGTTTTATTTATTTTGTTTCAGATGTTACATTGGTTATGTTGTTTAATAATGTTTAAAGGTTATTAAAGTAATAAGTGAGTGGTTGTTCGGTAAAAAATGCGTAAGATGAAATTTTACTTACATGATCATTTCGTTGAAGGATAATCGAAGAATCTGTTTTTTCCGAGGCACCAATAAAATATCTGTCGAAATATTGAATAGACTCGAACCGAATACCGGCACTCGCGAGAAAGATCTACATACACGCGATTCTTCTAACAGATCCTCGTGGATCTCCCACCTGGAGAGGAGACTTTCAGCCGCGCAAGCTCCAACAATCCTACCTTCGGCAACGTTCAACGAACTTTTATAATCGTTTATTTCTTTCATCGGTCTTTCCTTACATTTTACACTCAGATGGTAATTTATTAACTCAAGGTTATGCGCAGATATATAACCTTAAACATTTTGCCCATCGCGCCGGCCATATGTGTCCCTAGTTATAAAAGCGGTCTAACGATAAGTTAAGAATGAGTTTATCAATTATTTCGCATTGAATTTTCTTGCATTACCGTAATCTGAAACGATCTTTTCAAAATTGTAAAAATTAATTCTTTAGATAGTGTTGATTGTCATCATTGAACAGAATGCAAATTATTTTAATTATGACAGTGACGCTGTTAGTTGTGTTTGAGTGAATTTACAATTTTTATACAATAAATGTGCTAATTACACTAATGATATAGGAAGATTTTATTTCATGAAAATGACTTAAAAACATAACTACAAAAGTTAGAATTTTTAAGAATCTTCAAGAGATTTGAAAGCGAAATTATCTACTTATCTGTAATAAAATATTTTATTATACAATAAAACTTTATAAATAAAATTATTTATTCATAAAATTATTATAAAAAGTCCTTAAAAACAATATTTATCAATCAAAACATGTATTATATCATCATTATTTTATAAAATCACAAATTATTCAAGATTGTTAGAAATTGTTAGTGAAACGTAATTACTCGTCTATATCAGCCATATTAATTCATTTTAGTGATTCGTATCATCCAACCAAAATTTGTGAAATTAAATCCGTATTGTCTGTTCGTTAGCTACTCTCCCACTAAATGTATTCAGTTACCAGAAAGCTTTCCTGCAGAATATCCTAATCAAGTTTATAAAAGAATACTACACGAATTTCATTTAAGTTTATTATTTACTATAACTGATATTTTATATTATTAAAATATATTTTAATATTAATAAAAACAGTGCTTGAATTTTTATTTCATTTATTGTTTATTTATTACTGCTTTAGCATAATTTAAATATTAGTAATAATATACAAAAAGCTTCCTAAAAATATGAATATAGGTTATCTTTTACATTTAGTCCATATTAAAGTAAATAAAGTCAGAGACATGGTTGTAAATAATGTTATTATCTACAGATAATTATTAAATCATTTTTTGATACAATTACAATGAACTGTAGAATAAAATATAATGAAAAAGTAATAATAAAAAAATTGTAATTAGGATGGTGGGATTTGAACTCGTAATCTTTCATTTACAAAGATAAAGTATTTGTCATTGGACCAAACAAAAAACTCAAAAACAAGTTTTTATACATTTTATTCAGTTTACAATTAAAATTATTTATAATTTATTTTTTTCAAAATTAAGCTAAATCAATTATTATTATTAAATTAATTTAGCTAAAAGGTGCATTTTATTGTTTACAACTAAATCCTCTATTCTCAACAAATAAGAATCAAAACAAAAATGTCGGTATCTGATTCTACAATTAAAAACTTACAATTGAATACCAACTAAAACACATCAATATAAATAAATATAACACTTGTAACGTCCTTCCGGCATCTTATCAACAGAGAAGTACTTCAGAAGATTTCTGTCTTTCATCCAAAACTTGCAATACCAACTAAAACACCTAGATCAATATAAATATAACAGTTGTAATGTCCTTCCAGCATCTCTCCCTCATAAATAAAGATACTCCAGAAGATTCTGGCTTCCGGCATCAAAAACTTGCAATACCAACTAAAACACCTAGATCAATATAAATGAATACAACAGTTGCGTCCTTCCAGTATCACGGATGAAGATAGTTTAAAAGATAAGAGAGATATACTACTCTGTAATACACTTCCATATTACCATCATCGTTACCTTCTGTAATCGGCATATTACCATCACTGCCACCATTAATCTTAAAAGTGTTAAAGAAAGCAGGATCGATGGGGCATCGGATGTTGTTAGGTTAACGACTCTCGATACCGGTGTGTGTTTTGCGGAGATATATCCGTCGGGTGGCACTTCGATCGTGACATCGAAATCGGGAGGCTGTTCTGTGTGTCAGTAGGTCGTCGGAAAACGGGGCTGCACATGCGTGGTTCATTTTGCGCTAACCTGACCGCCTCGAGTGGCGAGGAATAGCAAGTGCCGTGATATACAGGACAGTGTTATCGGTGTTCAAACAGCAACGAAAGATAAATAGAGGAAAGATCGAACGGAGAAGCCGAACGAGAACCAGTTGCGAGTGTGACACGTCTGAAAATGAGGGAGGAGGGCCAGGAAATGACACGTCGAGATGGTAACCTGTGAAAAAGTGCAGATGCATCGGGACGGAATTCGATAAAGTGAACAGGTGAAAGGGGATTCGTAGTGGAAGGAAGTTGAAGAATAATAGAATGATCCGAGTGATCGAAAGAAGGAGATAGGAGAAGAAGCTGGGAGAGAAACGAGGGAGAAAGTTGAAGAGGGAGAAACAAAGGTGAGGGAGGGAGAGGTGCTTATTGCGGGCAATAAAGACGAATGTACACTCGGATGCAACGGAGGGTGGTTTCGGGGAAGTTGCTTGGGCAGAAGCATTATGCTGCTCGTTAAAGGACTACGGGAAGCAAATGTGTAGGGTTGGAAACTGGGATATGAAGAATTTTACAGATTGTAGTTTTTTTAATTGCAACACTCGCAATTATCAAGTTTTAAATTAGTAAAGTGTTGGTTTTTATATTTCTAAATTATCGTTTTCGAATTTGTAGTTTCTAAATTTTCAAATTTCCAAATTTTTCTAAAAGTTCTAAATTATTACAAAATGATTAAATTATCAAAATTATCAAATTAAACAATTTAATAATTTACCAAATTTCAAATTATCAAATTGTCACATTATTAAATTACTAATTAATTAAATTATAATTTCAATGATTGAAATTTGTAAAATTCTGTCTTTTCAGTTTTAAATTTGAAAATTTAAAAGATGATGTTTAGAATTTATTAATTTCTGTATTGTTAAATTTTGTAAATTTCAAAATGTTCATATTACCAAATCCATTTTCCAAAATACTAAATCTACATATATCCACATTCCAAGTTGCCAACTTTCTAAGTTTTGAAATTAAAAGGTTTGAAGTTTAAACTTTGAAATGTAGAATTTATACCTTTGTAAATTTTTAAATTCATAACTTTAAAATTTCTATATTTCTAAATTTTGAATTTGTAAATTTCTTAATTTACACACTTGTAAATTTATAAAATTATAAATTGAAAAATATGTAAATTTGAAAATTTCTAAATATTATAATATATTAATACAATATTGTAATATACAAATGTTTTAATACTACAACAAATATTATATTGCTTCTTAATTTCTTTCTTAATTGTATTTTATAAAATTGCACTGTGAACCACCAAATTATCTTAATTTGTTTCTAGGGAAACTAGGGAGAAGATAAAGTCACTAGATAAGTGTTTGGGGATTAGTGTTTCTTTTTCATGACAATACTACCACTTCCTAACAATACTAAAATAAGTTAAAAGTATTGAATAATATAAAATGTCAATAATTTAAAAAATTTTCAAATTCATAAATTTACAAAATTACAAATTTTCGTTTTGCAAATTTACAAACTTTACAACTTTTTAAACTCTATTGTATAAAATTATATTCTCTGTTATACAATTTTTTATTTTCCATTCTACTTATTGTCCATTCAACAATTTTTTATTCTTTATTCCACGACTTTTTATTCTCTCCGTAATTTTTTATTCCCTATTCCACAATTTCTAATTCACTGTTCCACAACTGTTCATACTTAGAGAAAGTAGTATTTGAAATGCAGCCTCTGTGCATCTTGGAGTGTACGTAATCAAGGAAAGTCGAAAGTGTCGTAATACTTATGGACGGCAGTGTATCTCAACAGAGAAACCGAAAGGAGGTTAGTAGAGAGAAACAGAGAGTAGAGGGTCAGAGGAAGGGGTAAAAAAGGGGGATGAACAGAGAGGGTGAGTGGCGCGCAGCATCCGAGGCATCGGAAAATATACTCGAGAACGGCGTCGACATCGGACAGTGCTCGTGAACGAATCAGTCTGCTCGGTGGTGAAAAAGTGTGCCCTTTTAAGGGCAATCGTGCCAGGAAGGGTGAGAGGCATCGACTCCTGGTGACGTCTCCTTGACAATGTCCGCGGATCCTGTCGACGACCTCTACGTCGACATTTCGCAAGCTGAATGCAACGAGTACACCCTTCTTTTACACTTACCTACCCCCCTTTCGATCTTTCCGGTGAAGCTTCTTCCTATTTTTATTTATTTATTTACTTGCCGCGCGTTAAACTCGTAGACGTATTCTAATTTATTGGAATTATTTTCTGGATACAGTTTTTTGATTTTTTAAATTCAGAAATATATTCAGATTTTTTAGATTGTTGATAAATGTATTTGCATTGTTTTAAATAGTTTTGTAGCGGCACATGGTTCGCAGCGTTGGTAGAAATTAGCATTGACCGTTTACAGATGTTTAGGTGTAGGCAGTTAAGCCTACCCTAAAGTCTGTAAGTCGGCGAAATTATTTTATGTTTTTTGGACGTGCGTAGCTCAATAGACTACCCTACCATAAACGCTGCCAGCCATGTCCCGTTACGGTTCATTAGGCCACATGGTCAGCGCGGTCCGGAAGGACATTTTCGACTCTCAAATTCTAATTTACAATACTCTTTCCCCCGTCGAAAATGGGAGGACTCTGCGAGGAAAATAACTCCACCCTCAACTGTGTAAGGAGTTACGCCTTCTCCGAAAAGTTTATATATACTGCGGAAGGGCGTCAAAACAGATATAA